ACCTGAAGGAACTAGGATGCTACTTAACTAACTTGTAGACCTTGCAGCCGAGGGCTTCGTCGCAGTGGAAGCTGCCATTATGAGTGCCGACTCGCTTAGCTGAAGTAGCGGTAGCCATGAGAGAGCGAGAGAGGTGAAGGCGCAGGTGATGGTGGTGGCTCGGGAAGACGAATGGTAGCGTGTGCTTAAACCCTCACTTTCCACTTTTAACACTTTGGTCCTGTCATTTCAAGTTGGTTAATTTAGTTGTGGAGGGGCAGTTCAGTCCACAAACAGCTAAGTCTGCGTGCTTAGGTCTGCGTTTAATGGCAGTCGGCCTAGTATACGGGCCATGCATGCAGTGCAGGGTATCTAACAAGATTTTCAAGCTCTGCATCTTCAATAATGATTGTCCAGGAAGATAGTATACTTGTCTGCAAGTTGTCTTTTTCGGATGGTGATTGTGTTATGGACTACCTTGCGATCATTCATGCACTGAAAGACTAATTGTGCATCTTCAGTAACCTCAAACTTTGAATATGTCGAGATCAATATATTACAAACTAAAACATGACTTCCATATCCTGATTTAATTGTCAAGCCATGTATATGTTTCCCAAGTTCTAAATTCATTTCATGACCGCAGGCTGAAACTGCACTAGTAAATGAGACATGATCTAACCCCATCCCTTCTCCCACCATCTCAATAAAGACAAAAATCGCCTCAAGCCCACGTTTTCTCTCTTGAGAGTAAACTGATAGTATTGCATTCCATGAAACCAGATCCTCATTCGCCATTTCATCAAACACACTCCTAGCTTCTATTAACCGCCTCTACCTCGGATACATACTTATAAGTGCATTTCCAACAAAAACTTCACCATCGAAACCAGACTTAAATATAAGAGAATGCAGTTGTAATCCAAATAGAAAATCTTCATGATCCGCACAAAAAGCAAGAATCGTAGTATAAGTCACTTGATCAAAAACAACTCCATTAAAATTCATCCTAAGAGAAAAATTCAATGCACCCTCACTTGTTCGAAATCCCAAAAGAATAGTATTCCAAGAAACTATATTAGTATAGCACATAGTCTCAAAGATAAGTAAGGGACCATCAAACTGTCCAGCTTTGGTGTACATACTCATCAAAGAATTTGAAACCGTAGTATATGAAGCAAACCCAGAAGAAATTGCAAACCCGTGAATTTGGCATCCGGGTTTGGGGTCCCCTGGACAGGCCTTGACAGCAAGGGTAACGGTAACTTCATCGATGTTATGAGACAAATGTAGTTGAAGTTGCTTACAGAACAAACATGTCAAGGGCTCTAAGGGTCTAACT